TGTGTGTGTGCATGTGTGTATGCATGTGTGTATATGTGTGTGTGCATTGCATGTGCGTATATGTGTATATGTGTGTGTATGTATGTGTGTGTGTGTGCATGTGTGTATGTGTGTATGCATGTGTGTATATGTGTGCGTGCTCATGTGCATGTGTGTATGTGTTTGAGTGTATAGCCCAACTTACCCCTCTCTGTTCATGATCAAAGCCTCCCATGTCCTGCTGAAGGAAGCTTGGCCAGCCCCTTTCCTGTGCAGGGAGGTTGCTCCCCAGTGAGCTTGCTGCCCCGTATATGCTACTCCCATAAAATTGCAGTTTTCAAAGCCTTTCCCATCTACCCAGGTCTACCACCTGCAGTCTGAGGGGGTTCCCAGCACACACACACACACACAAGTACACTCACATGCACACCACACAGGCACACGAGCGCACACACATATACACATGTATACACATACATATACACACACACTCACACACTCACACACACACACATATACACATGCACATACACACACACACTAAATAAAAATGATAAAATGTGAATTGGCATTCTGAGTGTGGGGAAGAGATACTGAGTGATCTAGAAAGAGCATCTAAGCCAGAGGTGGGCGGGGCATGAGAGGTGGGCGGGGCATGATGGGTGGGCGGGGCATGAGAGGTGGCAGGCATGCCAGCACTTGGATTGGCTAAGCCAGAGGTGGGGGGGGGGGGACAAACCTGGGATCCCCGCACTGGGAGTTCATGTTCAGCCTGAGGTACACATTGAACCTCTGTCTCAAAAAGAAAAAGAAAGGACTTCTACTCAGAACAATTTTTAAAATTCCTGTGAGTCAATAAGAAAAGACAGATGACAAACTGAGCAGGAATACAGTTCCGTGGTAGAGGCCTTGTTTAGCCCAAGCAGGGGCCCTGAGTTCCTAAGCCAGCAGCACGAAAGAAAGATAACCAGCGCATGCTAATTCCTCCCACGTCCCAAGAAGAATCCCTGCGCTACGTGGTCCTTCTCTCTGGCTGGATCCCAGAAGCCACTTCGTATTTGTTTGAACACTCCCTCCTCAGAGAACACCGCGGAGACAGCTGTGGCTCTCAAGCGTTTGGGCTATTAGAGTACTAATCACCCTGGATACAAAGGCTTTCCACATGAAGACTTCATAGCCATTGTCTCTGTCTCTAGCGCAGCCTCTGTGCATCCATGGGTTATCTCCTCTAGCCCGGGCAAGTGTTCAGGGGTTTCTCACCCCAAATTATTTATTTGCACAAAGCTGACCCACTATGGGTCAAAATATCTTTCTGAGGAGAAGGACACAAAGCAGATGCCAACTCTGAGTTGGTCCCTCTTAATGGAGTTGGAATCATGTCAGCTTATCTTACCAAGTCTGAGTGTGCAGGCTTGTCTCCAGCAAGCAAGCAGAGAGAGGAGGAGAGAGAGAAAGACTGATGGAGACAGGAAAGAGGAAAGGAAGAAGGGAGGGAGAAAAGGGAGGGGGAATCAAAAAGCTTAAACAGCCAGGAGATCTGATGAAAATGGTCCAGATCTCCCGGGGAAGCAGACAACAAGGTGATGTTGCCGCTCTCCAAAATGACTAGAACTACAAAATGGTGGCG